CCTCCCCCCCGCTCTCGCGTGCGCGGCCGGGCCCGGCCCGCTTCGCCCGCGCGTCGGCCCCTCGGTTCGCTTTCCTGGTCCGCTCTGCCTCCTCTGGGCCTTCCCAGCCGCTCACGGCCACCCCATCACCCCCGCGCCGCCTGCCCGCCCCCGCGGGGCTTTTCCTTCTCCCTCGGTCTTCTGTCTGTGCGCCCCGCCTCCCCTCCCGCCCCCTCTTGAGCGTCCCACTTCTCTCTCCTCTGGCGCTTCGCCCGGCTCATCCCCCCCTGGGTCCCCGCTGCCCGCCCCGCTTCAGCCTCTCGCGCTGCGGCTGCTTCCCGCGGCCAGCTCGCCCTCCTCAGCCCCCCCGCCTCCACGGCGCCCGCCGCAAGCGGGCCTACCCGCCGCCCCTTCTGCCCCGCGTCGCCGCGTCGCCTTCGTTTTTCCCCTTCCCGCTGGCGGTTTCGCGACCCTGCGTCCCCCCCGTCCCCTTTCGCGGTTGTTTGGCCCCCCGACGTTCCCCCCCGCCGTAGCGACCGTGCCGTCCTCGGTCGTCCTCATCTGTTCCCTTCCCTGGCGTTCCCCGCGCTTCCCTCCTCTCTGTGCCACGCCCTCATCGTTGTTGGCTTATTGCGTGCTCCCGCTGTCTCTTCCTCCCTTTCCCTTGTTCTCCGCGCCCCCGAGGTCCCTACCCCTGCTCCGCCGGCCTCCGCCTGCCCCCGACCCCTGCGTTGCCGCGGCTGGCGTGTCGCCGCCCCCTGCCTGGCCCGGCTGTTCTCGACCCGCGCTTAGCCTTGCGCTTTTTGGGCCCGCGCCCCGGGCTTGGGCCCCGTCCCCTGCTGGGCCGAGACCCCAGGCTTGCCCCCTGCTCGCGGCTCACTAGCATACCCTACGCTGCGCGCCGTCCCCTGGTGCCGCCGCGGGCCCCCGCCGGTTGCCACCCCAAACCCTACTGCGCTTCGTGTCGTACTGTTCGACCGGCCGTCCAGCCCCCGTCCGGAACGCTCTCTTCGCCCCGCCAGCGCTCCTCTGCAACGGTCCCCCCCTCTCCGAGCCGCGCTTTGCGGGCGCGCGCCCCTTCTGCCGGCCTTACTCGCGTCGGGCCTTGTCCGCTGCGGCGCCCGTCCCGTCTAACGGCCCCCGTCGGCGCGCGCGCCGCCCTCCTTCCCCTCGCCGTCCCCTCTCTGCTCCTGCCCCGTCCTGGCCTTGTTGTCTCTCCTCCCCTCCTCGTTTCGGTTGCGCCTTGTGGCGGGTCCTGCTCTTCGCTCGCGCCTCCCGTCCCCCCCCGCGCCCCTCCTTTGGGACTCCCCTTCCCCGGCTTTTGGCTGCGTCCGTTTCTGCCTGCTGCCCTATGCTCAGTCGTCCCCCGCCCGCCTTCTTCGCCGGCCGGCCCTCTTCTTCCCCCGCGTCCCCTGCCTCTTCGGTTTTCCCTCATTTCCCCTCCCCCTCCCTTTGCCCTCTGGTTTCCACCGCGCCCTTTCCCTCTGTTGTCCCCGGCGTGACCGCCGCCGTGTTCCCCGGCTCACTGGCGCGACCCGTGCCCCTTCCGGTTCGCAGCCCCCCCGTGCGCGCCCTTTCGTTGCCCCGCTTCCCCGTCGCGTGCCCTCTTCTCCCGCCCGTGGTTCCTACGTCCCTCTGGCGGTTTTCCCTCCCCTTCCCCGCCTTCCGCAGCCCCGCTCCCGGCCTGGCCCGATGTCGCCTTTTGCCTTCCCGGCTTCGCGCCTGGCCGCCGTTGCCTAAGTGTGTCCCCTTTCGCGGCGGTCCCCCCGCCCCTTTTCCTGGTCGTTGCCTCTTTTGCGCCCGCGCCCCTTTGCTCTCGCTGTTCCACGCCGTCCCGCCGCGCTTTTCGCGCGTCCGGTTGCACTCCCCTTTCCCCCCTGCCATCTGTCGTAACTGCCCCGGCTCCGTCGTGCTGGGGGGCCCTACTTGGCGCTGTCTCGTCTGGCGTCTCGTCGCCACGCCCGCCTCCTTCCCGCTCCGTGCCCGCGCCCTAGCGCTTCTGCGGGCCCCTCTGCCAGCGCCGGGGCGCCCGCGGTCCCCTTGTTTCCCTGCCCCTCGTCCGGTTGCCCGCCCCTCCGCCCGCCTTCCCCCTCTTGCTCGCCTGCGTTGGACATCCCCCTTGGCCTCTGCTGTGCCCGCCCCCGCCGCCCGCGCCCGGCGCCCCCCCCCTGCTACTTCCGCTCCGCCCCGCCCCCGTCCCCCGCGCTTGCCTCCTCTGCTCGCTTGCCCCTCCCTTCTGCCCCGTGGCTTTTTTTGTCCCGCTCTATGGCAGCCCTTCCCGGGCTCGCCGGCATGTTTCTCTTTGCCTCACTGGGCGGTCTTCCCGTCCGCCTGCTTGGCTCTCGCGCCCTTCGCTTCGGGCGGCCTCGGCTTTTCGCCATTGCGCCTCTGCCCCCCTCTCTTGCTCCTGCCCGTCCCCGGCTGCTTGCGGAGCCCTGTTCGTCCGTCCCCCGCGTCTGGCTGCGCCTTCTTGGGCCTGCGGTCTTCTTGTGGCCCTTGCCCTCGCTCGGGCCTCGGCCGCCCCCGCCGCCGTCTATGCCCCTGCCCCCCCGTCATCTTTTCTTCCCTCCCGCCGTGTCCTCCCGCCCCCCCGCGCCCGCCCTCTGGCGCCCAGGGCGCGCTGTCCGGCGTCTCGCTCCCCCTGCTTCTTTGCCCCTGCACATTCCGGCGTCCCCTCGTGCCCCCCGCGCGTGGCATCTCCTGTCGCGCCTCCGGGGGCGCCTTGCCCGCGCGGTTCATTCGCTTGGGGCCCTCTTCTGCTGCGCCCCGGGCCGCGTCGCCCTGTGCCCGCCTACTTCCTGCTCCCTTTCCTTGCCTCGGTTCGCCCCTGCCCGCCCTCCCTTTTTCCTTGCGGCTCTGCGTTGTCTTCGCTTGCACTGTCCTTCCCCCCCTGCGTGCCGTCCCGCGTCTATCGCCTCTCTTCGCTTTTCCCCCCTTTTCCCCTCGCCTTCTGCTTCCCGCTTTCTTCCTGCTTTCGGCGCCCCTGCGGTCCGCCTGTTTCGCTTGCCGTGCTGTTCTCGCTTCCCCGCGGGGTTCTTGGCCTGTCTGCCTTCTGCTCCCGCTTCAGCTTCTCGCGTTTTGCTCCGCTCACTCGCTCTTCGCCCCCGGCGTAGCTTGTTCCCTCCTTTCGCGGCCTCTCTTGCGCCGTTTTCGTTTCTCGGCGCGCGCTCTCCTGCTCCCCTGCCTGCTGCTTGCTCCCGCTTCTTGCGCCCTCTTTCCCTGCCGTCCGGCTGCGTTCGCCCCTCCTTTCTGGCCCGCGGCCCTGTTTCGGCGACTGCGCGGCGCGGCGTTCGCCCCGTGGCGCCGCCCTGTGCGTGCTCTCGCTGTGGTCCTGGCTCGCGCCCCCCTTTCGAGCTCTCCTGCGCCGCCTCCTCCCCCTGTCTTTCTGCGCCCCATCTCCTCGACCTTCTATCCCGCCCGGGCCCCGTCGTTCGCCCTCCCTGCCCGCTCCCTGTTGCCTCTCCCCTCCCGTCCCTCCCAGGCACTTCCTCGGCTGCCCGCTGCAGCCGTCCCTCCTGGGCTCTTCGTAGTCGGCCCTAGCCCCCCCCTTTCTTCTTCGGTCTAACACGTCCCCCCTTGCGCTGCCGTTCCCGATCCCTCCCCTCCGCTCCCGCAGCCCCGGGCTCTTTCGCCGCCTCGCCGTTGCGCCCCGCGCTGTCGCCTCTCTCCGGCCTTGTGTGGCTTCGCCCCCCTGCGCCCCCCGCCCTCTGCCCTGCCCCGGTCGCTCCCCTTCCCGCTCCCTTGGCCCTATGTCCCGCCCTCTCCTTCCTCCTTCGCCCTCCGTCGTCCCCGCGCCCGCTTTGGCCTCCAGCTGCGGCCCCCCTGCTGCCCCGCCCCGGCCTGTGTCCTCTGCGCTCCCCTTCTTGGTTCGCCTTGTTCCGCTTCTTTCCGCCCTTTCGTCCTGCTCCCGCTCCTTCGTCGTTTGCGCCTCCAGCCGATGCGCTCTCGGCCCCTGCCGTTCCCCGGCTGCGCCCCTTCCCTTTGCGGTGGCGGTGGGCCCCGCGCCCCTCCGCGCTTTTTTCGCCGCTTCCCCGGCGTGTTTGTGCCTGCCGGTCCTTGGCGCTCGCAATCCTTCCTTGGCCTGCTTTTCCTTTTCTTTTTGCTTCCTGTGCCGCCCTTTCTCTGTTGTGCGGCCTCCGGCCGTTCCCCGCCCCCCTTTATGCTCAGCTTCTTTCCCCGCGTCGCGGCCCGGCTGGGGTCCCCGCTTGTTGCGTTTTCTCCCATCGTCCCCCCTCCGCGCTCCGTGCCCGGCTGCGTCTCCGCCGCTTGTGCGTGCCGCCTTCCCTGCTCGTCCCTCCTGTTTCCCTCCCCTGCCGTGCCGGGTCGGGCTCCCCCGCGGTGCTGTGCCCGCCGCATTCATGGCTCTTTTGGCTCTCCCCCGCTCCTTGTTGCCTGCCCCTTGGGCCGTCGCGCTTGCGGCCGCTGGGACGCCCCTTTCCGTGCGGGCGCCGCCGGCTGGCTGCCGGGCCGGCGCCCGCCTGCTACCGTCCCTCCGCCCGGGCTTCCGGCCGATGGTTCCTTCCGGGGCTTGTTCTTTCGTCGTCCGGCCTTCCGCTGTCCCTGCCCCCCTCCGGCCGTACTCGCCCGTCCGGGGGTGTCCTCGTCCCTGGCCCTCGTGGCTCCCCCCCCTCCCGCCGCCCTTCTTCGCTCCCCCTCTGCTCCCTCGGGGCGGTGGCTCCCCCTCCCGTTCCCCCCCCGCTCTCGCTGTCGCCGGTCGCTTGTGGGCTCAAGCGTCGCCGCCTCTCCCTTCCCGTGGGGCGCCCCTGCGTTTGCTCTCGCGTCGCTGGCTCTCTTGTCGTGGCGCTGCGGCCGGCCGCCCCTCTCCTGCCCTCCCGCCGGCCCCTTGTGCTTCCTCTTCCGGCCGGCCCTACCGGTGTCCCTTTCCTCCGCCATTCCCGCTCGCCTTGCTTGCCCCCGCCTTCCTTCGCTCGCTCTTTGCCCTCCGTTTCCTGCTCCGCCCTTCCATGCGCCTGTGGCCTTGCCTCCCCGCGGTATCGTGTGCCTGCGCCTCCCCCTCCCCTGCGTTCCCACGGCCTTTCTTCGTTTCCGCCCTCGCGGGCGCTACTTTCGCGCCCTGTTGGCCTCCCGCGGCCTCTCTGCGCTTTGTTGGCGCCGGTCTGGCCGTCCTCGTCTGCCCCGCGCTGGCGGCCTTCCTTTGTCTCGTTACTGCTGGCGGCTGCGCGGCGGGCCTGGTGGTCTCCGCGCGCCTGTCTGCCCGCGCTGCGGCGGGGCGGCCCATGGCCCACGTCCGCCGCGCCCTGCGGGGTTGTGCTCGCCCCGGCCCCGGCTGCGGCGCGTTATTTGTGTTTTCTCTCACGGCCCTTCTCCCGTTTCCTTCTCTTCCTTTTGCTTCCTTTTCCCTCTCCGCTTATGTCCGCTTCCTTTCTTCTCCTGGTCTGTCTCCTCCCCCGCCCCCTTCTCGCCTTTTTGCGCTTCTCTCCTCCTTGCTTTTCCCCCTTCTTTCCCCGCCTCTTTTTTTTTTGCCTCCCCGCACCCGGCCCTTCTCTCTCTTCGGCCTCTCTCTTTCTCTCTTCTCGGCTCTCTCTTTGTGTTCGCCTCAGGCTTCTCTCTCCCCTCTCTCTCTCCTTCTCTTCCTGTCTTCTCGCCCTTCTATCGGCTCCCCCTTTCTTCTCCTCTGGTCCTCTCCGTTGGCTCGGGGTCCTCTAGCTTTTGCGGGGCGCCTCTCCCCCGCTTCTGTTGCCCCTCTTAGCTTCGCTTGTCTTCGCGCCCGGCCTCCTGTGCGTTCTCCCGCCCCTGGTCCGCGTCGCCGCACGACCCTCAGTCCTGTTTTGCGCCCGGGTTGTCTTTCCTGCTCCCGCCTCTGTCCCCTCTCGCTTTTGGGCACTCTGCTTTTGCCCCTGCTGTGTCTCTCTTTCCTCCTGCCATCCTCAGTGTTCTGTCTGCTGCGTCCCTCCTTCCGTTTCCCTCGACTCTCCCCCGTCCTCCTCTTCCTTGCGCGTTGTTTGGCTGTTTGTCGTTTTCCTGTCCTCCGTCTTTCTCCTCTCCGGTTTTCTCTGTCCCCCCCGTGCGCTTTCGCTGCGCCTGTTGTTTCCCTTTGTTTCTCCTCTTGCCTCGGCCGGTTTGCTCTCCCCCGCGTTTCGCCCCGTGGGCTCCCTGGCCCCCTTGTGCCGGGCCCCGGCCGTGCTGTCCGCCCCGGTTCCTGCTGGCGCTCGACCGCTTCCCGCCGCTCCCGTGGCGCCTCCTGCGGTGCTGCCGGTCTGGTGCCCTGCGGCCGTCCGCCTCAGCAGTGCGCGGCTTGTGCTCGGCACTCCCCTGGCTTCCGCCGGCTGCGCCGGCGCGGCCGGCCGCGCGGCCGTCCCTCGCCCGTGCTCCTTCGCCTCTTCGGTCCCCTCTCGCCTGCCCCCCTCGCCGCTCCGGCTTGCCTCCCCTGTTGCCTTCCCCCTCTTTCTCTCTTGACTGCGCCCTCCTTGTTCCTACTCCGGGCGGTCCCGTTCACTGAGCGTGGCGTGCTGCCCTGGCCGCGCGTTCCCCTGCCTTGGTCCCTCCTCCTCCGTGGCCTCTCGTCCCGACTCTCCCCCGGTCATGCCTGTTGTTGGTTTGCCCGTGGGTTTTATCCGCCCCCCCGGCCGGCCCCTGGTTCCTCGCCCGTCCTCCCGCCCGGTTCGTCGCCCCGGGGTTTTCCTGCCGGATGCCTGCGCTGCCGTTTTTTGCGCCGGCTTTCGTCTGTGGTTCCATCCCCCTCGCGGTATCAGTCTCTCTTCTGCTTTCGCGTCTCCTCGTGGTGCTCTCTTCGCCCGTCTGGCTCTTCCCCCGCCTTTTCCCTGGCGCGCTCGGTGCCCTTGGGTTTCCCTGCGCCCAGCCCCCTGGTTCTGCCGGCTCCGTGCCCCTTCCTCCTCCTGTCTGTTTGCTTCCCCCTCTTCTCTCGCGGTCTTCCCGCTCGCCCGTGCCTGGTTCCCGGCCGCTCCCTGTTTTCTTTTGTCTGCTGTGGGTTTCTCGCTTCTGCCTCCGCCGGCTGTGTCTCTTTTCTCTCTTCTCGTGCCCCTTTTCGTCTTCTTTCTTGGTCGTCTGTTGCTGCCTTTTTCCTTCCTGGGTTCTGCCTTCCGCTCGTCGTTCCTGCTCTTCTTGCTCCCTTCGTCCTAATGCCTTTCCGGTTCAGTGCTCTGGGTGTGCCTTCTTCTTCTTGGCCTCGCCTGTCCGTTCCTCTGGCGGTCCTGTTTTTTTCTCCCCCCGGTCCCTGCCGGCTCTCTCCCCGGTGCTCGCCTGGGTGGCTGCCCGCCCCTTTCCCGCCTGTCCTCTTACTGCGCCCTCCCCCCGGTGGCGTTCCTCTGCCCCTCCCCCCGCCCGTCGTCTTGGCTGTCCTCTCCCGTCTCTTCTGGTCCCTGCGTCCGCTCTCTCTTCTGCTGTTCCTCTCTTGTGTCCCCTCTGCCTGCTCCCCCTCCTCCCTGCCTGGCCCCTCTCTCCCGCGCGTCTTGCGTGTCTGTCCCCGCACCCTGCTCTGGCCTGCAGTCTTTCTTTGTTCTCCCTCTCTGGCCTCTTCCCGCCTCTTCCTACCTCCGCTTGGGCTCCGCTCCGCCTGCTCGCCTCTCTCTGGCTTTGCTGTGGTTCTTGGGCCGTCCCTTCCTTCTTTTGGGTTTGTCGGCCGCACCCGGCACTGTGGCCCGTTACTTCGCCTGCCCGGCCGCCCTCCCCGGGCCCTCCCTTGCTGTCTCTGCCGCCGTTTCCCCTGGCGCTGCGTTCTCTCTGTTCCCTGGCCCTCGGCTCCCGCCATCCGTCTCACTCCTCGCCTCTTGGTGTGCTCCTTTGAGGCCGTCCTTCTTTCTGGTGTCCCTCCCGTGTTTACTGGCCTGCCCGCCGCCCTTGCCTGTCCTCCTGCCTTTATGTTCCGCAAAGCGCTCCGTCGCCCCCCCCGCGTTCCGCCGTGCCCTTTCTTCCCCCGGCTCCCCTCGCGGCTCTTTTCCCCCGTTATTGTCGTGCCTCTGTCGTTTAATCCCTCTCTCTGTGCCCCGCTCCTGTTTTGGTCGCCCCCCGTTGTGCTTTGCGGGGGCGTCTTCGGCCTCTCTCTTTCCTCTTCGCCTCGGCCTCTACTTGCTTCGTGTTCGCCTCTGGCTTCTCTCTCCCCTCTCTCTCTCTTTCGCCTCCGTTTGTCTTAGCTCCGCCCTTCTTCTGGCCTGGGCCCCCTCGCCCCCGTGCCTCTGCCCGCGCCCGCTGCGTCTTGCGTCTCTTTCCCTCCTCGTTCTTTTGCGTCCTCTCTTTGCTCTCGTTCTCCGGGTTCGCCTGCCGTCTGGTTCTCTTCGTCCTGCCTTCTCGTTGCGCTGTCTCGCTTTTGCTTCCTTCGTCGTCCTTCTTTCTTTCGTCTTTTGCCTCCTCCTGCCCTTGCTTGCCCTCCTTCGTGCCTCGCTCTTGCTCCCCTTTTTCCTCCCCTTCTTTGTCTCCCCTCCGCGCCTCTCTCCTCGGCTTCCCTTGTCCTTTCGTGCGCCCCTGGCCCGTCCTCCTTCTTGCCCCCTCTGTCTCGGCCGCTGGTTTTTCCGTCCCCTTCGGTTTCCCCCCTCGCCCTGGGCGTTTTCCGCCGTCGGGTGTTGCTCCTGCCGGCTCGTTCGCGCGCCCCTTGCTCTTTCCCCTGCCCTGCGGTTGCCTTTCCTCTGTTGCTTCCCCCTCCCCGCCTTGCCCTCGCCGTTGTTGCCGTCCTGCCCTCGTCCTCTTGCTCTGCCTCCTCTGCCTGCTTTCTCTGCGTTTTCCTTCCTTCCGGGCCGGCCCCTTGTGCTCGTGGCCCCTCTGCCGTCTCCTTGTTGCGCGCTCTTCCGCCTCCCTCTGCGCTCGCCCCTCTTCCTTGTGTCTGCGCTTCCTTTCTTCTCCGCCTCTGCTGTGCCCTTTGTGCTTCTGTTGTTCCCCTTGCTGTCGCCTGTGGCCCCCCTTCTTTCTCTGGCTTCCTCCCCCTGCGCCTTTGTCTCTCTCTTCTTTCCCCTCTTGGTTGCGTCCTCTTGCCCTCCCTCTCCTTCCTCGTTCCCGGGTCCTTGTGCTCCCTTGCGCTCCCCCCGTTTGTTGCCCTCTCTTCCCTGTTGCGCCTGTCTCCGGCCGCGTGGCGCCGCTTCTCTCCTGCTCCCCCCCGCCCGTCGGCCCCCTCCGTCTCCCCCGGCGCTCCTGTTGGGCCCCCCGCTCCGTCTGGGTCCGCGCTCCCCTCCCTTTGCCCCCCTCTTTGTCCGTGTTGCCTTGTGGGGGTCCTCCCCTCCTTCTCTTTTCCTCCCCCGTTTCTCTGTGGTCTTGCGCCTCCTGCTGCCCGCGCCTGTTTCCTGTTCCCCTGCCCCTCTCCCGGGCTTCTTTCCGCGTCCCCGCCGTCCTCGTCCCCGTGCCTGTCCGTTTGGTCCCGCGCCTCCCCTTCCTTGCGGGCTCCTTCTGCGGCTTCGTCGTTGCCTCCTTGGCCGGCCTTCCCGTCCCCGTGGTCCTGCCTTCGTGGTGGCTCCCCCTTCTGTGGTCCCCCGCCGCCCTGCCCCGCGTTCCCCCCTCGTCCCCTCGTTGGTCCTTCCGCCCGTGTGTGTCCCTTGTGCGGTTGCGCTCCCGCTCTTCCTGCCTTCCTCCCTCTTTGCGCCCGGGTGGTTTTGTTGCGCCCCCCTCCTGCTTCCCCGCCTGTGCGGTTGC